CCACTGCATCTAATTTAATACACTGACTAAAACAAATTTCCACATCAGTCTGTTTTTCTTACTACAATAAGCTCAGAATAAAAAATATAATAAATAAAGCCACAAGTGGTGATGAAAGCTCTCCAAGAAGACCAAGCAGACACTCCAGCACAGGGTTTCTCCACCACAAGTGGGCCGCAAAGCACCCGACAGAGGTCCTCAGGCCAGTACTGAGGGGCAGCCAGTGGTTCATAGTGGGCCAGTGATGGTACTTTGTCAAAAGTCATTGAAAAAATTTGGCTTAATAATAACAGAAATATAAAATGTAAAAACCTCAAACCAATATTATTTAAGTCACAATAACAATATTCTTTTTTTGCCCCAAAGTTTCAGCTGTGCACTCGTGAGTGAACAGTTTACCTGAATTTCAGCTATAAAACAAGCTTATGTTTGCCTGTCTATTTATGGTATTGAATGTTCAGTGATGTACATGGTGTGTTGTGCCATCTGACAACTGTGAAATTTGCTGTTGCAAATTTCCCAAAAAATGAATTTTTGAATGTGAATGTTTTCTGTGGGCCTCCAAGCTTTTGGAGAGGGGGAGAACCTCTGCCGCAGCACATTTTTAGCACATACAGAAGGCGTGTTAAATCTGAGGAGGATTAGACAATTTTAAGATGCAGTGAACACACCAACACCTCTGCTGCTTGTAGAGAACTGGCTCTGTTTACGTCTGTCCCGAGGCCGGACTCAGGAAAATGTTTTCAGAAAGAAAATCGTCTCAAATTAGTGTTTTTTCTTAACTTCAGTCTTAACAAAAAAAGTTATGAAAAATGGTTGTTCTTCAAATAACTTCCTAAAATGATCTTATTTTACTGTTTTCTTAAAGTGTTATTCTTGAAAATATATTCTTAAATGTTTTCTTAACCTTTCGACCGCCTCACACTGTCTCGGGCTGTAAGAGTCGACAAGATGAGCGTCTAAATTGATCAGTTTATCCACTCCTGCCCGTCCTCGTCTCTTGCTCTCTACAGTCACCCCAGAATTATTGTATTTTCCTGTTGGCTGTTTCTTCCTTCATCAGCTTTAGTTATTGTTTGCTAAAAGTTTTTAAACACCTGGTTTGATGTTTTTTCTCCATTTTGCTCCTCTGAGCAGATTAAACAAATGATGGAAATTACAGTTTATACAAATTCAAACTGTATCTTGTGCTGTTTATAGTACATGGTAAAGTGCAACATGGCCAACATAAGAAAACAAAGATATCTTAAGAAAATATTTCAGAACTTATTAGTTTTTTTTTTCCTGAGAACTGCGTTTAAGAACATTCTTATAAACTTCTTAGTGTTTGTCTTAACAACCTTCGCAAGTTTTAATTTAAATCTGGCCCCAGCTTCATTAACCATTTCGCAGAGGTGACTGCACTGTGAAAAATGGTCAGTTCAGCCTAAAAAATATTTTCATAAGGTAACGAGACATTAACCTATTTATATTAGACTAAAAATACTTTGCATCACTCATCTACTCAGTATTTATTTAGGTTGAATTAAAACCAGTTTATTCTTACCACCTAAAGTATTTACTGTAGGTTGAACTGATGAACATATTTTACAGTGTGAATCTGTTTACAGTCGGGAAGATGACTGTAATACATGCATGTGAGGTTTGGCCTGAGAATCCAGAGTTTGGGAAGTTTGGGGACAGTCATTTATCATTTATCGCCCCCTTTTTACAAAAGTCTGCCAAGTTTATATCTTGGAGGGGGAGGGGTGGATTTACTGCACACGTCTGTCTGGTTTAGAGAGGATTAGACAAAATGTGAGTTTGAGCAGTTTTGATCCAGCTATTTGTGTGCTGTATCGCCCCCTAGTGGTGAACTTTGTTCAAAGAAAATACTCTAGTTAATAGTTTTTAGGGGTGTGGCTGCCCTGCTGTAACAAAGTCTAGATTTTTTTTAATTATTATTAAAATTCTCAGGTTCTCAGTGGTTTGAGCCACAATTTTAGAGGTTGGTTGACTTGCTGATTTTAGGTAATTTTTCAAAAATGTGTTTTCAATTTTAATCTAAATGGGTGGAGCTTTGTGGTTTAAACTGCAAGTTAGTGACCTGAGGCAAGCAATCAGAATCTAAAAGAATTTTTATTCTACACAGCAGTTTTGGTGTTACAGACCAAAATACATAAAATAGTGAGTCACAGTGCCCCCCACTGGCTGACTAGGACACTTTTCCTTCATTGAGAAGTGATTAATGTGCGACACCTGCGCTAAATCAGAAGCTGAGGTGCTGGAGCCTCTGAAAAACACTAAAATCCTGAACATTATTTAGATGCAGTTGGTGTTTGGAGCCCCGTCTTCAGGATCTGCGTTTATAAGAAGCCCACAGAAAAGGCATTTGCACTAATTGGAGAAGCTCATTTAGCTAACAGCTCTGCTGCTGCTGAAGCCCTCAGTGCCCATAATCTGTGTAAGGAATGAATATATAAGCAGGATTAGGGCAGGAGGCTGGGGGGCTGGCACAGGATCTGCTTAGCTGTTATAAAATCCCCCCTCACTTCATATAAACACACTGCACTTTTCCAAAAGCCATTAAAGGGGGCAGTAACTGCAGAGAGCCTTGACATAACGAGGTTAGCAGTGAACATGCCGAGGGTCCAGTGCACAACCTGGCTTCTTTCAAATCCATTATTCCATCTCTGCTCAACCTGTGAAAGAAGAAAGAGACCCTCCTCCTGAAGACTTGACCCTTTAGATCTGTTTGAGCTGCTCAGGGTCCAGCAGAGTTCGGTGATTAACCTGCTCCAGCAGGGAAATCAAACTGTGCTGGAATCCAGCCGTTCAGGATGGGAGCTCACCAGCCAGGTTCTAGTGCACCAGTTTAACACACCTGATCCAGGTAATAAAGACTCTCAGGAGCATCTGCATGTTAGTCAGGTGTGTTGGGTCTGAACTCTCCAGGGTGGGAGATCTCCAGGACCAGGATGGAGCATCTGTTCTAGTGGTTAAGAGTTTTGGGGTTTGTTAGAAGGCCGTCTAGCAGGCACTGAAAAAGATTTATTGGAGAACATTTATTAACCTGAGCCGAACCAGTCTGTGGATTGGACTCTGGAGTTCTGTAATGTCTGTATGAATTATTAAAACTACATCAGTGAACCTTACCCATACAGACTAATACTGAATACATCACGGCTGTCGGAAGAAAACCTCGCAGGAGAAGGAAAAACACTTTACTTTTAATGGAAGTCAATGGAACCAGAGTTTTTTTTTCCAAGTAATGTTTGGTTGTTTCTTTTGGTCCATTCATCATGAAATTTACACACAATGTAAAGAGCAAGAGGCATTTTCAGATAACGTCAAAAACTGAAAAATGACAAAAACAGACAAGATTTTGTTCTGACAGCAGTGATATATATATATATATATACACACACACTTCATATACATATACATACACACACACACATACATATATATACATATACACATACATATATATATCGCTGCTGTTGTTTTTCAGTTTTTGACATTTTCAAAATGACCAAAAGAAATGGGCCAAAATGACTTGGAAAAAACTCTGGTTCCATTGACTTCCATTAAAAGTTAACTAGGTTTTTTCCTTCTGTAAAGTTACCAATTTGGAGATACAAGGTTTTCTTCCAACAACAGCAATATATATATATATATATATATATATATTATATATATATATATAATGTATGTTTGAAGGCCCCATTATGGTGTTTTATTGTCCAGTTCAAGACGGTACGTCTCAAACAGCCTGAGATGAAATCACAGCGGGCAGATATTTAACACCTTCATACGAAAACTTGGAGCACACACTTTAAAAAGACGGTTCTTTAAGAGTTCTTTAGTACAGAAAATGATTCTATATAGAACCATGAACACTCAAAGAATCCTTTGCATGATTAAAGGGTTCTTTGCATTGTGAAAAGGCTCTTCAGACTGATGAAGAATGTGCTGTAGGCGGTTCTATATAGAACCTTTTTGAAAATGGTTCTGCTATTGTGACGATGTCAAGCTTGTAACGATAGAAGAGCCCTTTTTGATGCCATATTAAACCTTTTTCATAAAGGTTCTATATAGAACCATTTTCCTTACTAAAGAACTGTTGAAGAACCATCTTGTTTCAGAGTGTAGTAATATATTAAATTCTTAAGCACAGTCATACACAAACGTGTAGGCGACTCAGGTCGAATTCCTTTTTTTGATTTAAAATTAACACATTCTGCACATTTTAATGCACGTTACTGTTTATTTGCTAATTTAATGCAGTGGGAAAAAATATAAAACATAAATGAGGCCTGTGAAAAAGTAATGGCACATTTTAGATATTAGGTTTTATTTTTTTCCAATATGTAAAAGTGTAAGATTTGGGGATTTGGAGACCTCTCTGGTGGAAATGTGTAATTGCACTTAACATGTGGAAGCTCATTTTGTAGCGTGGGTTGTGCTTCAGTCCTCTTCCCCGAGAGAATTTAAAGAGAACTCAGTCTAAACTCGGTGAAGGACGCGTCTTCTGAGGATGCGAGTGAATTACCAACTACGGTTTTCATATCTTCATCAGTATAATGTTGATTTTGAGATCATTTGAGGCCAAAACATGGAGCCGGACCTTCTTTCTGAGTCTCTGTTTGTGGCGTTAATACGTAAAGATGTATGACGTGGTGTTAAAAACTCTCTGACTGTTCATGTTATTTTGGTTATTTAATATAATGGTTATTTCAGGCTTTACAGGGCGACTCAGCAGCTCACACTCACTGTGTTAGCCTGATTTTACTCTCCTCACTCAGTAATGACACTTATTTCGGTTCAAAACTCAGCAAATAAATGTAGATTGTGCAGTAAAATGTGCAGAAATTAAACAAATAATCTAATTTGTCCAACGATGCTCAAAGTTTTGACTGTAACTCATGTTTGATTTGCCCTTTTTGGCGCATACAAACAAAACGTACCTTCTTGACAGTGAAGACGTGAACTTTCCAAGGAACAACAACCACCAGAACTGTTATCCTTTATATCCTTTATTTCCAAATTCACATGTACATTAACAAGAATCAGTTATTAATAAAACACACTGGAACAATATTTACAATCACAATTCCCAAGCTAAAACGTACAAACAGGTGAATGGTGTCAGTGACGACAGGACGGCAAACCCTCCTCAGTCCAGACTCGGGGTCAGTGACGTGGAACTGGACGCTACGCTCAAAATAACCGGCCGTTATTCCTCACAAGGTCACTTCTGGATCACGAAACCCTTCCCTCGTCGCGCTCTCGTACACGACGTCTTCCACCCGAGGCGAAAACCCGTCCCTGTCCCTTCATACCACATACAGTACACAAACCCTGTCCAAGGAAAAACATTCAGAAACACACTGCCGATCCGTGTAGAAAACAAAAAACGAAAAAGAAAAACAAAGATGACCAAACGACTTGAGCATGCAGATTATCGTGGTGCGAGTACAACCGCTGAAACTGCTCTGCTACGTTTTTTTTTTTTTCTCAGCCCTCATGTTCCTTGGCAAATAGATCGAGATGAGTCATAAACATATAGCACACATACATTATATACTACCGCTATCTACACAGCTCCTTCTCCGTCACAAAGAAAAGTGTGGGGTATATGTTGGACAGTGAACTCCCTTCCTCTGCTATAGATATGCTAAAAAAGCACAATCCAGATTACAGGATAACACCGTGATAAAACAGAACGGTGCAGGAAGAAAAGGGAAATGCAGTCGCTCATGTGAAACGCATGCAAGGATCTTAAACAGAGCGAGCTGAACCGCGCAGTGCAGCGGAGAAATCGGCGCGTGTTTTTAGAAAAGTTGAACAGCCAGGCGGCGTAAAATGACGCTGTAGGGATGAGCACTTCACAGCATTTGCTATTCGAATATCTGCATTTTTAAACAAACAGTATTTGAGACCCCAATGAGAACAAATTTGATACTGTTATGAATAAACGACGAAGGTTTAACCTTTGTTTTTTGCGTGCAGAAGCGATCCATAGATGATCATTCAGATTAATGATTTAATACGCTAATTAACTAATCTTTTGTAAATATTTTCACGCTTAAACTTTGCCGCATTGCTTAACGTGAGATATAATACCACATACTCGATAAAAACGCGTTTAAAACTTGCGAGACATTTCATTTTATTCCACATGCCTTACTTGAATAACCGATTAAATAAACGAATGCGAAGAGGAGCTTATTCGAATAACCACGCCCATCCCTACTTTTTAGAGCGTAGCTGCATGTTGAGTCAAGACGGTTAAAAGAAATGCAAATTTCCATGCAACGTAATGGATCAAAAGGACAATACAAGATACACGATGTCGAGCCACGGCACAACCGACCGCAGTTCGACCTTGAGGAGAATCGTTTGGCAATAATTCAATGAATACTTCTCATATAACTTCATAAGGGCGCGTGGACTAAGCACAAAGAGTGGAAAGAAAAACACTTTTGGCGGAGTATTGGATCAAATCATAGCTCCTAGATATACTCTTGGCATCTACTCCAATTGCATTCACGATTCGACAACACGGGTGTACAACAAAACCGATCATCTGAACGTAATTTACTCCTACGACTGACTCACCACCAAAGCACATAGTTCTAAATAATAAACAGCAGCTTATTCAGGACTGTAATGATTAACGTGGCCACAAAATGTTCATCGAGAAGGCTTTTCAACGCTGTGAACCAAAGGGTTCACCTTCTACACCGACAACCTCTAGTCCCCAGACGTTCAGCTACGACAGTGTTAGGGTGAGAACGCTGCGTGTCAGTGTTCGAGATACACAAACGTGAGTAATTTGTTAGCAGTAAAGCAAACGTAAAAGTAGGAGAGGCATCTACAATGGACTGCCAGCAGGCACGACGATAATCATGTGTCTTTTTTCATATCAAATACATCTCATATCCACAGAATAATAAAAAGTGCCTGACAAACACCACGTTTCCTTAACGAAGCCCAACAAATTTTGCGGAAAGTATCGCACAGATAATTTAGCTTGTTTTGAAAGGATCTCCCCCTTTAAACAAGCTGCAGTCTCTTCTCAGACAGATCGTTTGGCTCTAAGTATTATTACCATTACACAACCCTGTTTTTCTTTTCTTCTTAATACTTCACGTTTATTAAAACTGGGACAAATATCTAAAGGTAGCTCGTTCTTCTGGGAACAAATCTGATCTTTGACCATTTAAGCTTCAAATCCATCTTCAAAATACGATTCCCTATGTTTCGTAAAGTGAGGAGCATTGAAATAACACTTTATAGACATAACAAATATGATTCTGATGATTTTAGGCTATCATATCTAACGTGTAGGTAAAAACCATACAAATATGTAGCACTGTTTCTGAAAATATGTCCACATATATCAAAGGAAGGATATACTGGGGAGAGATTTTTAAGAGGTACAGACAGGCGGACACTTTCAGCAGCCCTGGGTAAGTGACTCTAAGAACACTCGCAGGCTTATTATAAATGACGTTATAAAATCTTAACAGTGATGGGCGGGGCTACTTGGCGTGGGGCGTGGCCGTGAAGTGACGTCCTTTAGTGATGAAGTAGGGGAGATGACTTCTGTATATCCGTACGTTTACTGTAACGGGTGCGTTTTGGAATTCAGGAGATGGGACCTGGGGAGGGGGATCACAAGCCCTGCTTGGCCAGCGAGGCGGTCACCTGGTCCGCGAGGGTGGACAGCTGCGGAGGGTCGGCCATGTTTATGCTGCCGGAGGAGGAGACGGTGCTGAGCTGCTGGGGAGACTCGTCCAGAGAGATGATCTCAGCTCCGTGATCCGTCCGCGCCTTCGCCTGCTCGCGGAACATCAGCTTGTGCGTCTCAATCTGGCCGAGCGAAAGGAAAACCAACGCAGGTTGTTAAGAAAAACCAGCACTGATTCAGACAATTTTGGAATTCTCAAGCATTTTTTAACCTCATCTCTATCTGTGTGGCCCAATCGACCACAGATGATTTCAATATGCTACCCTGTACTTTCTGCATAATTCGGTAGTTGAGATGTAAACAAAGCCATTCAGAGTGTTTTGGTGTGAAATTGTCCATAGTAGAGAAACTTATCCTCAGTGGCGGTGACAGGAACCAGGGGTCACCATGACTACAACACAAATATAGACATTTTATTTACTATCCAGAACCACCAGTGAACCTAGCTACTAAATATGTCTGTGTTTTATATGTAATGTTGACCATAATAGTGATAAATCTAAAAGAAATACATTTTTGTTAGAGATATTTTGCATTAGATGATACTGCATATATCTCTCCACCGTCAATGCATTTAAAAAATGTGTTTTAGGCCAAAACCTTCTCAAAAAAGCAGTGTCTCAGGCATTCGGCCATGTGTTCATTACCATTTCATGAAGTAACTTTCTGTGAGGGAGCTTTTAGTGGTGGACGTCTGGTTCCTATCACCACCACTGTGAACAGTTCTGACTCTGTGAGTTTCTCTAGAAAGGAGCGTTTCACACCAAACCACTCTGAACGACTCTGTTTACATCGTAATTGTTGTGTTATACAGAATTTTTTAAAAATCAGTGGAGTTCCCCTTTAATAATACACTTATACATAGACCTGGACATTTGTTCACCTGCTTTTAAATACCAACCTGAAATGAGTTTGTGTTGATGGAAGTGAGTATATTTACTCACTGATCAGGAAGTGCTGACGTTAATAACATGCATAAAGAGCGCAGAGTGTATATTGTTTCACGCATGCTAAAACTGACTACTTAGGTCCTCTAAAAAAATTTGGAATTGAAAGGCAAAAATTTGTTGATACTTGGTAGCATTCAAGTAATTTGGACGATACTACAAAAGCAACTGAATTTCAATATCTAACCCTACATTCATTAGAAGACAATGGGCAGTTGATGTATGAGATTAGGTTGGAAAATGCTGGATTATTCCTTTAACTCCTTTAAACCTTAAGGGTCTGTATGTGGGCCCCAAACTCCCTTAATTTATGGTACATACGAAACAAAAAGCCTTAAGATTAATAAGTGAAAAATAAGTCTTGTTAAGTTCAGAATGAAATGGAAAAGAATGACTGGGTAAAAGGGTATGACTGTCGCCCTCTTGTGGCTAAAATGGACAGAGCAGTACCTAATCATGAATTCTTAAAATCTTTGCATTTTCTTTTTTCTTATTTGTATAAAATATTTTTTTTTTCTCCACAGATGTAGTCGACTGTTTGTGCTCTGGTCTTAAAGCCTCTCAGTCTTGGACATACTAATGTATTTACATTGAAAGCTAATATTGTTCTGTTTACATCTCTAAAAATGATGATTGGGTTTTTAAAAGAGTTACACTGATTCTGTTGGACATATGTTTAGTTAGGATTAATTCAAATGATACCCTCCTACACTGAACTCCAACCTGCTCCCGCTCCAGTTTAAAAGTGAAAAAAATCGCTAAACATAAGGGCTGTTACGACGGTTTACATAGATTGTTGGCAAAACTTGTAAACAAACAGTAAATGAGACAAAAAAATGAACCATGCAGCTGCGTTCATCTCTGCTTTGATGACACAGCTGATTATGGTGCTATTTCTCCACAACACATCGAGAGGCTTTAGTGTTGGTACTAAAAAGGTTATGCGGTCGTCTGCGTCCTTGACCAACTCAACTCTGGGTGACTGGATCACAACGTGTCTCATTGTACTGCGTTCATGCTTGTACTTTATGCTGTCCACTTAAGATCGAATCACCCAGGGCGCATGTTAATGCCAGGTGGAAACGATGTAAGTAGCTGTTAAGTAGTATTATTGCACTTAAGCATTTTCTTTCATTCTCTATTTTTCAGAAAGCACCAATATTTGGAAATACTATATTATTACTTAAATTGTATTACTCTAACACAGGACAAAATGACAAATGAATTTGTAGGCACTAAAAAGACAAAGACTTATTACTGCCACCCTCAAGCAACACTGTGGAACATGGTGAACAATAACTGCTTCTCTTACAGTGTCTGTGTTTTTCCCTGTGCTTTTTGAGTATAATCCACAGTAACTGCACTTTTCACTTAAGTCTCTAATAAAGGAGGTATTTTTTTAATAAACAAAACAATAATTTGTAAACAACGTCCAAACTGAAAAAGCAGTTAGCCAGCTAGCTAATCAACCTTGGCTAAACAGACACTTTGTTCTTTATTATTTGTATTTAAATTAGCTGGCTAATTTAGCTAATGAAAGCTAACACTCGAGGTGAGCTACAGGGTTAGCCAAAGAAACCTCCACCTTCAGTCTGTAAGGCAAATATGAACTCAAGAGTTATTATTTAAGTAGTTTTTAGATGCAAAGAACCTCATGGATCTTGTAAGTCACTCGTTCACATTTAGCAGAGTGAAGATTCTCCACAAGGGGGTGTTTTTATTAAATGGATCATAAAAGCAGTATTTGTACTTGTATTTAGGTTAACTGTCACTGCAGCAGCAGTGCTGGGATTTTCAGTGTTACCATCTCTGAACACTTCACAAACTTCACAGTTCATACTTTGCAGACTTTGCTATGTCTTAACAGGCTTTAGTGCTGCAACTTGAGTAATAATTGATGTAGATGGATTTCATGCGAGTCCCTTCCTGTATACTTACTGGAGTCCTCAATCTTTATCTGGGGGTTGCTGAGGTGGATGGGTTCTGGGGAGAGGCTGGTGGATGACGGGGTTGGGGGGTCAGTGGGGTCAGGGGAGAGAGAGCCTGCACCCTTCCCCTTCTCTCTCTACACACACCCCACAGTGGCGAATGAATGGTGACACAACCAAACAAATGGAACCAAAACATAAAAAACATATGAAATGGGTACTCAACACAAATCACACAGAATGCAAAATGACAAATTAAATCATTTTTTGGCTGAACTGAAAAGTAAAATGTAACACAAAGGCAAAAACACAGAAAATGAAATGAAAATAAGAAAAGCTTAAAAATATTTTAAAGCTTAAAGAAAAGCAAAAAATGTCCTGGAAGCCGCTGCTTTGTGCACATTCATGCTAATTGTTTCTGGTTTGGTCTGAATTATAGATCAGTGAAGGTCAGGTAACCATTTAACACATACAACTATTTCAACAACCGCTAAGGCAATTTGTGTGTCAATGCAGGAAACAGACGGAATGCAAATGAACAGAACGCAACATAGAAGTATTCTCTATGATTATAGGCACCATTGGTAAGAATAGGAAAAGGGCTTTTTCTTTTTTTCCATTTTTCACTCACTTTAGTCATTGCCAATTAGGTCTTCCCGTCACACAATGCTGCCAAGCTGGGAGGGTGAAGGCTAGCGCACTCTTCCTCCAAGACACATGAAGCTCTACCACATATTTTGAAACTGCTGCTAAAGCCGGGTCACACTCCCCGACCTTTACCCTGCGTTTAGCCCCGATTCTCAGTCTGGCTCAGTCTGTGCTGGTCGGCTCTAGTCTGCAGATTTTTGAGTCAGTCGACAGTTGGAGAGAGTTGAGTCATGTGTGAGAGGCACAGCCTCAGATTTATAGTGTCCCAATCGCATTTCAGACCAGTCAGAGTTTATCAAACGTTTGATTTTTTTGACCCAACTCTGAGCGAAATCTAGTGTAAACGACTCAATCTAACGAATTCCTGCAACAACCAATGAAAACTGAGAGGGCGTACGTGTGGAATGACTTTCTAATTAGCTGAATTTAAGGCACAATCGAGTTTATGTACATTTAAAATACCAACTGATAACTTTTTAGATCCATGATCCACTTAAACATGTTTACCTGCTGCTTCTTCACTGTTTCAGCGCAAACAACAGAGAAAACAGCAACAGCAGCTCAACATTTGTTTATTTGCGTCTCCTAGTAACAGGAGAATGCAGGAGAATGCGAGAGTTTGCGTGAGTTCAGTGAGCTCCGTTCGGTTCAGCAACAGCTTAAAAGTTGAGCAGTGTGTGATCCCTGATCATTTAGTGTGGATCCCCAGTTTTTCAGTCGCCCAAAAAAATCTCTCAAAAACCAGAGTGACAGTGTGAGACACCCAGTCTTTTATAATCTGTTCAGACTTGAAAAGTCGTGTAGTGAACCCAAGGCTTAAATCAGCATTGTTGAACCGCTCAACACGCTTGGAGGAGAACTGCTATTTCTGGAGTATCAGCTAACAGACGCCCTTGTTGGTTATGATAGCGCTGAGTGACGGGGAGAGAGGGAGGACAGTTATGATCGCTTGGACTTGCGGCTATGGACGGGGATTGAACTCATGATCTTGTGTCTTCTTGTTCTCTGAGTAATTTTAACTCACTGAAAGGTCAGAGGACCATTTTATTGCTCAAATGTTGATCTTTGATGGCTCAGGAGACTTTGGCGATTCTTTTAAAATTCCTTTGGAGAAATATCATTCGACAAAAAGGAGACATGAGATAAAGGAGAGATGAGAGTTTAGTTGCTGATAAACATGAGTGCTATCTTCTAGTCTGAGCACTTCATTGAGATCTCCACTAAAACTCAAGAGAAGGCACAGAAAAAGAAATATGGGCTGTTTTTCTCAGGAGAGACAATCAGCATTCTCCTTTGTCTTTCCATCTGATCTTGTTGTCTTTCTTTTCTATAGGGTTACATTCATCCTATATTTTCAGTGTAAAACCAAGCTGATAAGCAACAAAGACATTATTCCACAGCCTTTTGTTCATCTTTACAAAGAGAGGGAAAAGAAAAGCAAACAGCAGCTATTCACAAATTCCAATTCTTGCTTAGACCTTCTGGCGACGGTTTCACAGGAAGAGTTGCCTGGTTTGACATTCTACAGAAAAGCACTAGGAGGGATTAGATGATTGGCTTTGTTAAGATGGACAGTGAGGTCATGAGGAGAAAGCTCACAAAGGGGATTTGCCTAATGCAGGAGTGTCTAATCTTATCTGCCAAGGGCCGGTGTGGCTGCAGGTTTTCATTACAACAAAGCAGGAGCTCACATGATCAGTTGTTAGATGACCCACCAACTGATTAAACAAGGAGAATCAGGTGAGCTCCTGCTTGTTTGGTATGAAAACCTGCAGCTACACCAGCCCCCTGCATATAAGACTGGACACCCCTGACCTAATGGCACTGCTTTAAAGGCAGCCAAAGAGGCGTTCTCTATATCCTGTGCCTATACACAGTGTGTCCAAAAGCCTGTAGACATCTGCTCCAGAGTTTCTTCAGAAATGAGGGGTATTCATGACAAGTTTGTCTCCATTTGCAGTACCAGCCTGTACGGCTTTACACTAGATGTTGGAACACTGCTGTGAGGATTTGATTGAGCATTGGTGAGGTCAGGTACTGATGTTGGATGGTCAGTTCTGGATCACTCCAACTCATCCCAAAGGTATTGGATGGAGCTCCATCACTCCAGAGAGTGCAGTTCCACTGCTCCACAGCCCAATGCTGGGGGGGCTTTATACCCCTCTAAGTGATGTTTGGCATTGGACATGGTGACCTCATGTGTGGCTGTTCCACAGCGTCCCATTCTACTGGAAATTAGCTGTGTGTGCACCTTAAAGCAGTTCTGTTCACTAACTAGAAGGAGTGTCTGGACAATTTTGGACATTTTTGGATATATACATTTATATCGCTGCTGTCGGAACAAACCTTGTATCTCTTTTTTTTTTAGTTTTTTAGTTTTTGACGTAAGTTGGAAATGCCTGTTGCCCTTTACATTGTGTTTATATTCCATAATAAATGGACCAAAGGAAATGGCTCAAAATTACTTGGAAAAAGGCTGGTTCCATTGACTTACATTAAAAGTATGTTTTTTCCTTCTTCTGTAAAGTTAACATTTTGGAGTTCAGGTTTTGTTCCGACAGCAGCGATATATATGCATATATATATATATATATATATATATATATATATATATATGTGTGTGTGTGTGTGTGTGTATATATGTGTGTGTGTATATATATATATATATATATATACACACACACACACACACACACATATATATATATATATATATATATGAAACCCCAGTGACACCACTGTCATTCACATTGTTTGCTGCAGCACTTTTCTAACGAAACTTTCTTTTTTCTGACCTTCCTCTGGCCACCTCCAGCCACATGTCCAATGTTGTCTAGAGAGCCAACCTTCGACTGGGCCTTGAAGTCCAGCTTCTCTGACCTGATCTCAATGTTTCCTCCACCTGGAAGAGATGCAGAAAAAAAGTAAAATTATGTATGAGTACTGCAGAGTACGACTGCACAATATATTGTTTTTCAGTCATCATCCCAATTTCGGTCTCTTCGGAAGGATATATGAAGGGTTTCATTCCAAATTTTTGGATGTTGTCCACAATGCATTTTGCTGGGAGTGGGCTTTACACATATAAAAAATATCAATGCTATAATTTGGTTAAAACCACCTTTATTAGAGAAATAAAAATGTATTATTTTGTGTTATTTCTGGCTGTTATTATATGATTATTTTCAAACCACTTTTTGTTACAATATTTTGAAATGAAACACCTTATATACTGCGAAGAAATGCTCAGTCACAAAAAACCTATCTAAGACGCTATAATACAGTTCTTGTATATTTCCATGAAGAAGACCAAGTATGTGAAAAAGGCTACCTGGCTTGTGATGGATGTTGTCCTTTGAACCACATTTCGACTGCACGTTGCTCAAGTCAAGCTTTTTGTGAAAAATCTGGACCTATGAAGATCAGACCGGAAGAACAGTACAATTATATGTGAGCCGGCAACAGGTGGCAGACTTCAGTCTAGTCCCCTTTACAACAACCACTACACCATGCAAAAGACACACCAAGTGACTCTACCTTGTTAATCAATCAGCCTTGTTAGTCTATTTGTATCTACTTATTTGAGACAGAAGCAATAATTTGACACACTATGCGAGCAAAAACTCTAAATGAACATTTGCTTGCTCTAATGGCTTCATAGATCAGATATCTTTAATCTACTAATCTAATCATATCCACAAAGGGCCGATCCACAAAGGTTTTCATTGCATCCAAGCAGGAGTCCACCTCTTCTATGTAATCAACTGTCTTAAGACTGAGATCAAAAGATTAAACAAATCAAATCAGGTGAGCTTCTGCTTCACTGAGCTAAAAACCTGCATCCACAACAACCCCCTATGGATCATTCTACCGAATTAGTTCAAACTGCAGCCCCAGAGTAAAAACTATTTAAAAAATTTTCTAAAGTATTCAAACCGAAAATGTTTACAAAAAGTTCATTATGCTCCATTTAAACCCAATGTATTAATTAACATAATAATAAGCTAAATATATCACTGCTTTCGGAAGAAAACCTCATATCTCCGTTTTTCACGTTTTTCAGTTTCTGACATAATCTGAAAATGCCTGCTGTCCTTTACATTGTATGTAAATTTCATGAAGAATGGACCAATAGAAACAGCCCAAAGTTACTTGGAAAAAAGTCTGGTTCCATTGACTTACATTAAAAGTAAAAGTATGTTTTTTCCTTCTCCTGTAAAATCACTATTTTGGAGATATGAGGTTTCCCACCAACAACAGCAATATACAAAATCATCATTTATAGAGTCTTTCATGAGGTGTCTGTTCCAAATCGTAACCCCTAAATTTCAACTTGTGGAAATAATGTTTAATTGCAGAAATACATCTTTTCTGTAATTAGGTAAACTTTTTTAATGAAAGATATTATGATTGTATGTGTGTACAACTGCTCAAAGCTGAGTCTAAGTTTTGCTCAAAATAAGCTGAAACTGTCACCACCGAAACAGTCACTACTGAAACATTTGGTAAATTTTCAGTAGTGTTACAATTGTTTCGGTGGTGATAATTAAGGTAGAGGGTCACTCAAAGCAAAAAATCTCAGTCTAAAGTCCAAGTCAGTTAAAAATCCAAAATGTGTTTTAAACTCTGAATTTGTTCTGCAGAATGATCCTTATAGATAAGATTGATGACACTGGTCTACAGTTTCTAGAAATCTGCCTTGTAAACACATCAGGAGCTGATAATAAATGATAAACAAAAGACTTGCATTAATGAGCTGTAGGAAATTATATATTAATCCAGCCTGGTAGTTTTCACAACGCACAGCCATATGGAGCCGCAACGAACGCACAGCGAGACCATGCGCCCTCTCAAATCCTCAAAATAGATCAGATGACCTCATCGCCATGACAACCGCCAAAGGTCAGGGGATTTTCTGGACAAAAAGGCTACACTTGTCTTCGCGATGAGGTCATCTCCTCATTACAGCCAACTGTTCACTACAAAGGAGCGCTCGGCCCCGGCTGACCAGAGCGGCACAAACACCTCACTGTGCGGAGCTGAGGGACGGGGCTGGTTCCATCCTTCAGAAATGAGGGGCGAGCTACTCCGCCTCAATGGATCAGGCTTTAGAACAGCAAGCTTTATAAGTGCGTGTTGACTGGTGCTCTATGAAGTCTAATGAAAAGCCTAATTTAAAGGCCGTTGCAGGCTCTTGTGCCACAACCATGAGCTAGTTAACTTCCTTCCCAAACGTAGTTGATCAAACAGGACGTGTTTGGTATCTGAATCTTGGTTCTTTACTTTTGAACTGGAGCTGAAAGGCTAACGTAGCTAACAATTAATGGAAAAGTGCTTATTAGCAGTATATTACTTTTTAACTCCTTCATTTTTTTTGCTATGTAATTATATTGTTTATGCACAGACAGTATTACTGAGGCTTCACCATAAGACAAAAAGAACACAAAGAAGTTTAATTTTAATTATTTAGGAGTGATACTGGATCCCCAGTTAAAATATTATACTCAGATAAAGAAACTGACCAAGACTATCAAAACTAATTAAACTGTTTTCGATTGATAAGACCTTGCATTCCACTCAAGGCTACACAGATGTATGTGCATGCCATGATTTTATCGCATATGTCATACTGTGCAACTGTGCAACATCACTGTGGAATTCAAGAAAAATATAATTTGCTGGGTTTTGATAATTTTATATATCTTTCTTTCTTAAAGCTTATTCTGAAGTGCATAAATAATCTCACCCCAGAAATACTTTGCCCATTTATTATAAAGCAGGAATCAGGGGAGCAGTAAGTGGCAACTGCAGAACCCCAGTGCACAGAACAACATCTGGTCAGTCATCTTTTACAGTTAAAGGCGAACGGCTATGGAATGTTCACACAAAGTGAACTTAAAGTTTTTAATGTAAAAGTGAAACATCGGCTTAAACAGAAACAAACCTGTAAACATTTTGCAAGTTTTAGTTGATGTACAGCCATAAAGATGCATTGATCACAAATGTAATCATACAAATAGGTATGCATGTTTTCTGTATTTTATGTATTTATTCCAAATGTTGTGCTATTAACTTTTTCCCTGTTTTATTGTATTGTATTGTATTTATTTATTTATTTATTTATTTATTTATCCCTAACCAGGGACTGGGGCTGCGAATTAGCTTAAGCTAGATGGCCTATATACATTTTATCTGTATTGTCCCTGTCAAATAAACATATAAAATAAATAAATAAAATAAGGCAAGCTTTGTCTTTTAAAGCAGACTCATCAACTTTGCAATGTACGCAGTTAGCACTGTGCTGAGTCTCCCATAACTGTTATCCAGATTAGCCTCATTGCTTCAGTACAAAACGAAAGAAGAAAACTTCACCAAACATGTCTTGGCTGATCTACCACATTTGAGTTAAGAGGAAATCTGTAAATGTAAAGTAAAGGGCATCTCTTATTAACTTCACTGGCTTATCTCCAGTGCGTTTGCTAATGCTTTAAACCTGCACTGCCACCGCAGTGCACTAATGCCATCTGGGCCTATATTCACAAAGCTTCTTAAAGTAGGAGTGCAGATCTAGGATCCTCTCATATTTACTATAACTTCACTGACAGGAACAGGTCCTACATCAGCACTTCTAATTTGAGGAGCTTCATGAAAGCAGAAGTGGAGCTGACGTATATGTGGGCTCCTGACTTAATAACCTCTGAAGTCATGCATCATTCTGGTCTAAGTATGTTTTCCCCATGGGAAAAAATGAATGCCATTTTCACAGCTTTATTGCAGCTACGAGGCTCACTGGACTGGGGACCTGATCAACGTGACATCGCAGCCTGACCCGGCTGCGTGGGTGACGCAGCTGTGGGGCTGCCTGCCCTGGTAGTACGCTGCAGCTATGAGGCGTCTCGGGCTGGCTGCCCTAAGCGATGCTACATCGCAGCTACGTTGCTGCCTGGGCCGACCACCTGGGTGTCGCTGCATTGCAGCTATGAGGCTGCCTGGACTGGTGGTGTTCAGCTGCAGGAAAATGCTGCCCCTTCGTGGCTAAGGACATTTTCAGCTTCCCGGGCCAGTCTCCTGTGTGATGCATCGTAGTTGTGGAGTGAGACTTTCCCCCACGGCTAAGGACTCTTTCCGGGCTAGCTAAGTGACTCTGTACCATGGTCAGTGAAATCCCCCTGCTAGCTCTGGGAACTGTGGAGTGTGTGTGTGTGTGTTATGTATTGTTGATTATGTATTGATTGTAAAGCGTTCTTGAGCATGGGAATATTTATTATATAAAAAAAGTGATGATGATGATGATTTTCCAAAAACTGCTACTAGCATATCCTGTGGTAAAAAAAAATGTTTCAAACCTGATACAGTTTGTCCAACACCATATGTACGTACGGCCAAACATTTTGGAACATTTTTATTTACCACAGCAGTGATTTTTGAAAACGCTGTTCCTTTTTCTTATACTCAGACCCAGAGTTTCTAATATGGGCATGACACTGGATACAGAAAGACAACACAACTTCAGCGGTCTATGGGATGCACTTCTACACGGTACCTCATCCATATTAATATAGGACACTACAAGCAGCTGGAATATCTGGAATATCCATTAACCTGTTCACCACACACAGATGTCACATCAAAAAGGTCAAAGGGTCATGGGGAGTTGTGAGTTTCAGGCGGTGAGTGATCAATACGACAGACTAGTTTAGAGACTAGACAGGCAATTACCATGCATTAGTGAAAAAAGTCTTGAAATGGTAAAGATCTGTAACAGTTAATGTAAATTGGTAGAGCTACAACTGATGGCACTGAAACCACAGGGAGAAGAGATATATTACAAGGCCGGAGATGTTCCACTCCTCCCTTGTTTACTCACTTTTCCACCTCCGGGTGTGTGTTTGATATTGTCTTTGGAACCACACCTAGCCTGAACACTACCTAAGTCCAACTTCTGATCGAGAATTTGAACCTGAAAGAGTGAACAGGTGTGGGGAAGAGGGGGGGCAGTGTTATACTTCTCAAACAAGCTAACAAGCTGACAGGGAGAGAGAACTGTCAATGAGGACAAGAGAAGAGCCCATCTATGAGGAACCCAGAGCCACCACAGCCCCACTATGCCACACCACAAGTTTCTTCTTGACTTGAAAAGCTAATAAAGTAGAAGTCTAGAACTTAGTGAACAGAAGAACTAGTGTCTGTAGGCTAGATAAACCCTGATAGAAAAGAGATACAAGATATAGGGGAGTTCAGAGGGGTGTTTCGTTAACAAGAGTCTTCACAAATGGTCATAACTCTAGGGAAGAACCAAGACTTGAAGGCGTTGAGTTCATCCTATAGTTACTCACATTTCCACCTCCGGGTACATGTTTGATATTGTCTTTGGAGCTGCACTTAAACTGAACATTAGTAAAGTCCAGATTCTGATCAAGTATTTTTACCTGGAAGAGTTTAGAAATGAAGGAAAGAAAACAATTATCTTTTCTGAAATGCCAAACAGGACAGCAAGAGCTGCACATCAGGACCAAAGCAAGAGGAGAACACAGTGGAAAGTGAACCACATGTACTTTTCTGCCTCTGAATAGAGAGCACCGGATACTGTTGTTGAGCTGAGGACTCCCCCAGAAACAGGTCAGTTAGTCTTGGTAGGATGCATCTTGATTAGTTACGACTGCCATGCAGCAGTGGTGACAGGAGAAGGATGTTAAATATTTCTTTTTGATAGGGAATGAGCATATGGAGGCAAATTTAGGGGGAAAATGCTTTCGTCCCACCGTAACTCACTTTTCCACCTCCAGGTACATGTGTGATATTGTCTTTCGAGCCGCACTTAGACTGGACATTACTAAAGTCCAGCTTCTGTTCAAGAATTTGGACCTGTGTGAGGTAAATGTACAGAAGAATTCATTAGGACCCAAATTAGAAAATCCCAGTAGATAGAAAGGCTTTTCTAGACGTTATTATCTCAGATAATCAACATTATTACAGGAAAATTTTAGTTTTAGCTACTCGTAGAGCTGGCCGAATATTTGCAATATGTTTGCACTGACTTTTTTGGAGATTAACATTTTGAATATCACAGAAATCTCAATGCACATCATTATGGGCATTTTGTGCACTCAGATGAGTTTTCTGAAACCTGTGGCAGCCATTCAACTGGTAACTGTTAGCAAAATAGAAACCCCAAATGATAACAGTGGCTTTAAAGTGGCTGCATAGTACAGTGGATAAAACTTGTGCCTTGTGAACCATATTGCAAAGCCCTAACACCACCTCAGTAGGTCCAATATTCAGTCTTGTAATTGCAATCAGTCTTTCAAAGGTAGAATGTGTCCATTTGCAATCCTAAAGATGGCATCTGTTGAATGAACTGGCTAACTGTAACTTAACAATAACATTAAAAACAACAAATCAGGTCTTGCAGTTTAGGCTTAGCTATCTAAAACACTGAATAAGACCAAGCACATGACAACATAGAAGGGTCACGTACCTTTCCTCCTCCAGGAACATGCTTAAGGTTGTCTTTAGATCCACATCTAGCCTGAACGCTGCTGAAGTCCACCTTCTTATCCAGAATCTGGACCTGTGAGCGAGAGATAACGTGCCACATATTAACGACCACAAATGCTGCAGATCAGGACCATGCTGTGATGAGACTTTGGAAGCTACTGAAAGCTACTATAAGCCATTCAGGCTTATTATAAGAAAGAGTGTGACCAGAGAAAATAATAGTACTTTTGAAGAGCAGTGATTGGACTCTAGAAAGGAGGTAAGGGTAACTGGAGTTTCTGGTTTTCAAAACTGTAGGAATAAGGCTGAAGCTTCATTCCTTAGTTACTCACTTTGCCACCTCCAGGTACATGTTTCAAATTGTTATTGGAGCCGCACTTAGACTGAGCATTACTAAAGTCCAACTTCTGATCAAGTATTTGGACCTGTAAAAAGGTAGAGTATTGGGAAGTGAGTGCAAGTAAAAGAGATTAGAGTAAAAGGGATGTGCTGACTGACAGTGGAGCTTGGAATAAATGAATTAAAGTGACAGTGAGATGAGTTTTTCACATCAAACCACTCTGAATGACTTTGTTTACATCTTTATCTTTGAATTATACAAAAAGTGTGGAAAGTTGGTGGAATTCCACTTAAAATCATGCCCATAAACCATTAAAAGAGACCTACACCATCATTATCGTTGCCTTTAAATATCAGAACTACATATTACAAAATGGCAAATGTTTTATGCCTGAAGTAGCATCATGGTGCAGTACTTTCTACCAGCACCCTCATCTAAATAACCAGACTGAAAGTAAAGTGGATGAGAAGTGAATAAGGTACCCGGCCTCCTCCAGGCTGGTGCTTGATGTTCTCAGTGGAGCCAATCTTTGAGCGCACGTTCTTCAGGTCAGGCAAGGGTGTGGCCGCAGCAACTAGTGGGGCTGGTGAGCGGTTCTTCAGGGAGCCAGGAGACTTGGGGGTGGAGCGGATCACTGCTACCTTCTTCATGTCCTTCCCTGCTGGCGGTTTTCCACCAAGAGCCTTGCTAGAGGGGGATTTAGGGGTGCCAGGACTGCTCTGCCCACTGGCCTCAGGGGTCTTAGGGGAGTCTAAGAGAAGGACAGGATGAAGTTGTGTCAGCAACTTTTCTAATATCACTGCTTGACTTTTTTTAAAAAGCAATAGTTTGGTGAAAAATCTAATTTAAACAGTCCCCCCCCCTTAACCCGACTACAGTTTGGGTTAGCAGTCCCCCCAGATTTAACCCAAATTGTAGTCGATCATCCAAGACAAGTTTGGTGTCTGATGTTTGCTTCCTTTTTTGTTTTTGCACCAAAGCTGCAAAGCTAATGTAGCTGACAAGCAATGACCACCCCAATCAGCACTATGCAAACGGCACTGAGGTGTTAAGTAATCTCAATGATTTAAACAAAAGAATGCTGGATAGATAAAAAACAGACGCAACATCTTGAAACATTAATTTTCTCTGTATTTCTGTATGTTTTTATAGATAACAGTGAGTCATACACTGTCAGAAACCACATAAGCCTATTGGAGATTACTTAACAACTGCACACGATTTGAGGCAAACGTGATGATTTAGGCCTGTAGCTTGAAAGCTACTAATTGGTGGTGTATAGGTTTCCATTACTTGTTAGCCTCGCAGCTCCAATACAAAACGAAGGCAAACATCAGATACCCAACATGCTGATTGCGTACATTTGAAGTACAGAGAATACTGTGTAAATTTGATTTTTTGCTGAACTATCGCTTTAAACTTCTGTTTACTGTAATCAGTTTACATATCTTAATAAAGTGAGATAATGCTTAGTAGTATGACCTGTCTGTTCTGAGCATCGTATTCTTCTTCATGGTGCACCAAATGCTGGGATCAATACTGAGTATTCTGATGATACAGTAATACATTAAATGATCATAAGGTAAGCTTTTCTTTCAAGCAAGTCTCTTCAATGTGATGTGTACTCACAAGCTCTACACAACTCATTTACCTTTTCCATTCTTCACTGGTTTCTTCGGATCCACTTTCACTGTTGTAAAAGAAGAATCAAAAACATGAGCAGGGAGCTGTTAACTCAGGGATGACACGATATCAGTCTTGTTTAGCTGTAACTTTATGTACAAGGCAGCCACAGAACTGAGAGCAGCTGGGAACTCACCTGACTGAGGAGGGGTCATCGCAGGAATCTTAGTGCCAGCAGCATGAGGCCTGCCACTACCTGGGGCCTAAAACACAAAAGAAAGTGCAGGTTAGCACTGTTGATGAGCGACATGTTGTTTATCGGTCTTGTTTGCGTGGCGGTATTCTGTGACCACAGCAAGCAAATGTGCACTATTTCTAGCATGCCATGTACTAATGAGCACCCAGTGCTATGAATACCTACTAGTTTACATATTGCAAACCTTTCTGCTTAAAGGAAAAGGTGAGTGAAAATCAAACTTGCACCCCAAATATAGTCGATCAGCCAAGACACGTTTGGTATCTTTTGCTTTTTTCGTCTTCCACTGAAGATACAAGTCAAATGTAGTTAAGTAACGAAAGCTTGACAAAAATGGACAAGACTTCAAGATGACTTTAACAGCTGTTTTTAGCTACGCAGCATCCTTTGTCCATATTTATACCATACTCTATATGAGTATACTCTATTAGAGTTATATATAGTGTCAGGGAGTCTATTTGAGATTAAATGTGTGATGATTTAGGGGGCCTAGACGATGCAAGGACGGAGCGGTAGACGCATACGTGTGCAGACTCGGCTGGAGCAGGGTGGAGTCTGTACAGTTCGAAATCCAGTGGGAAACAAAACATTTAGACCAGAAACAAAGAAATTCGGGCCAGCGAAAAAACATTTTGGCGATGGCCATATACAGAGCCGAGCAGGCAACAGCCACGATGGCAAAGAAGTCATACTGAACAGGAAATGAGTGCACAGCGTCGCTACCGTCCTCCACCTTGGATTTTCATTTGTCTTCTGCCTGTCTGTCAACTGGTTGACTCCACGTCAGAATCCGTTGCAGCAAAAGTTGAAAAGGTCTGAACTTTTTCGACGCTCAACGAAGCATCTTGTCACTGTATACAGGCACGTTTCTAATCCGACAGAGCTGACGCAGCATCCTAACTGAAATACACTGGGGGACTGTGTTTCTGACACTGCGTCAGCTTCTAGTGTGTAGGCAACCTTCGGAATACAGTTTGCACAACGCTAAATGGCAGTTATAAGCTTCCATTATTTGTAAGCTACATTAGTCTCACAGCTCCAGTTAAAAAATAAAGAAGCAACTTCCAACAACGAAAAATGACTTGAATTTGGGGTACGGGGTAAAGTTGTTCAAATTTTATTTTTTATCATTAACTATTCCTTTAACCAACCTCTGTAAAATGATTTTTAAGCTGACATCCCAAAGGTCTCCTTAAAGTGTCATCACACTGTTAATAAACAATATGTCAATAAAACTCTATGCGTCTTATTAGGCCAAAATGACTTTAAGCATGTACGCCACACCTCCATGCAGCAAAAACCACAATGCAGATGAGATGCAAATGTTGTTATTATAATTATTAATGTATTGTTACGCAGAGCTGAAGAAGAGCATACCACTATCAGAAAAGGACTGTGGATTAAACCATTTTAACCAAGAGCAGGTGGGCAAGGCTCGCTCAGCTACTATACTCACCCTTGGCCGCGTTTCTTTGAGCACGGCACTTACAGGTGTTGAGGGAAAGCTAGTGGAGGAGGAAACTTTGGATTTTTTCACAATGGTGGAGGGTTTCTTTAGGGAAGAGGGTCTAGTTTTGGCAGGAGGTGTTTTGGGGGTCTTTGGAGGTAATGAGATGAAAATGCATTGAACAGGAGGAATCGAGAGAATACAGACAGCGGGTGAAATGATGGCAATAAAACAAAACAAAAAAGATGTACTTACCCGTTTCTCAGCATCACTGTCAGTCTTGGGTTGAGCTGTGGGAGAGACAGTTTTGCGTCAAAACAATTTTTCATTTTCCGTTGTCCTTTTACACCACAACGGCCACACATACTGAAGTGAACTGACATATTTTCCTTGATTTCCTCAAGAAACTGCTTTTCTTGTATTGGGTATATTGTGTATGAAAGTGCATAGGTGATGGGGTGCCTGCAGTCACTGTAAACATGGTGACAGGAAACACACACGTTCATGCAGCTGTGACATGCTAAACAGGACTTGTGGCCAGCAAATATGGCTTCTGTCAATCAGCGCAAAAAACAGGCCGCAAGACCGCCAACCAAGAGCAATCAAAGCACAGCAGGGTGACAGAACTACAATCAAAGAAAGAGAAACTAAAACTGAACATTTTGTGGGGCAACAGGCGAATTCCTACAATGCTGCATTTACTTTGCTAGACGCTTTTATAGGGGAAGACAGTGCGGCACAGCTAAGCTGCTCAGTAAAGCAAAGGTGGAGGGAAACAAAACAAGAGAGACTGGACTGGGACTTGAATATGGCAGCACAGACCTTTAAACTGAGCCACAGGAACGAGAGATTTTCTAGCTGGCGAACCACGGGAGGTGCTTGGAGACCCAATTGGGCTCTTCATAAAACACGAAACTTCTTTGCCTTCCATCTCCAGATTTTCAGAGTCATGTGACCTTAGAGTACACTGGGACTCAGCACCTTTTTGGGGTGTCAAAGAAAAGTCTCTCACAGTCTCAGATCTTCCTTTTTGCATGTGGTCTTCTGGTAATAGCTCGGAACTAGCAAAGTCCTGCTCTGTTATAGAACTGTCCTGGACATATTCAAGGCTTGGATCCACCAAAAAAGTGCCATTTGAATGATGTGAGATGCTGACAATGGGTGTATCTCCATCTCCTAATGGTGTCATCTTAGGTCGACAAGTCGCAGTTCGCAATCCATCCTCGTGGTGGCTCTTAAAATCGTCAATGGAGGATCCTTGTTGGGGGAATTCATGAGAAACAGGGGCTTCCTCAGTTTCTCTGATCTTGTCCCCAACAGCTGTGAGGTCTTCCAGCGCAGCGCTACGGATTAAGAAGGAAACAGGGAGGTCGTTCTCCAGGGACAGGCTCCTGGTGCGATCAGGACTAACGGGTCGATGATGTGGATGCTTAGGTCTGCCACTCCAGCTGCTCCTTAGAAAGTGCTCTTCTTCTACATCTGTTGGCCTGTGGTCTACAAAGCTCCAATCTGAGTCTCGCTGGTCTTCACCATGACCCCCTGAAGCAAAGCCCATTGCTAAATCTGGAAACATATTTCCAGATTTTCAGTAGAGACCAGTGCATAGGACCTACCTGACTTCATGACTTATGGACCCTCCACTCTGGCTACTTTGCCCTAAAGGCAGCCCAAGTCTCATAATGGCAAGGGCCCAACTACTCTGCGTTGAATATTAACATCCAAACCACTAATGCCCCTTTTTAACATTAAGAGAGAATAGACTGAACCAGGACTCAATCAGACATGGAACAGAACAGTGGAGACACAGTGAAATGGTAAGGACAAAGAACAAACATCACAAAGACATTTGCTGGCCTTGTTAACATAATGAACAACAAGGATGAAATTGGATATCAACATGAACACGAATGAGATCTGTAGCAGCAAATGAATCATTTTGTGACTGGTGTTCATTCTCAGCTATATCATAAAAAATAGCCTGAATTAGACTGTGCATGAAACGCACCTTGCAGTTCACAATCATGACAATGGGAACTTGGTCATGTGGAAGCACTCGAATACATTACTAGAATAGCAATGATCAACGTGGCATTGGTGTGATGTACAAACACTGAAAAATGGTGACAAGGGTCTTTTACAAACATATTTGGAAAAATGAATGTGATTTATTAGAAATAAAAGAGACAAACGCTTAATAGTACCTGTTGGAGATGTAGCTCCTCCTTGTTCACGAATGGCAGGAAAAAAGAAAGGTAAATATACAGATGTTAGAGAATCATGCATTAAAATGAAAAAGGTAAAACAGTTGGCAGAGAAGCAAAGAATTCAGCAGCTTGTCTAGTCTAACTTTTTACAGAAGATAATCCAATTAAGAAAGAAATGCTTGGACTTTGGAACGCAAAATAAATTAGCCCTGAAAACCAAAGCAAGCAGATTACTGTTCAGTGAAGCGTGAGAGCAAGTCTTCTTGATAGTCTTCCAATTCACACCAGGCAGCACTTGTTTAGACATCACACCTGTGTTAGTATAACTGCAATGATCCAGTGACCATAAAGGTTCAGTGTGACTGATGTTAATGTGAGTAAATAAGGAAGTACGTTACATTGTCCCCTGACGACTCATCTCTGTAGTGACAAGATCAACTGCTGGTCACTGGTAGAGCAAAGTTATGGCTTGCAGAAGCATTTATTTAAAACAGGGAACAGAAAATAAAAAAAAGGTTTTGATGCTAAAAAGGGCAAGTGCACAGCCTGTAATCCGGGTACTTGAATGCTGCTTTAAAGCAACACAAAGGCAAAATCTCTCAGATGTTAATAGCTGGTTGAAGGCAAAACCATAGCATTCCAGCCGAGTGCAAAGCACACTGATCATGAAAGGCAGCAATTAGCGGAGTTGGTGGTGCCTACCGCACTGCCCATTCGCCTCAGCGGGAGCAGACAGTGGTGAAGCTTCTCCATGTGTTTCTGCAGAATCCACGGACCCCTCTATTAGACAAGGATTTAAACTCAATTAGAGTCTTCAGTCATTGACTGCAGGTTTATTCGCTACCCACAGGAAGCAGATATTTGGTGTTTTAACTCTGTAAAAACTGGAGGGCTAGGAAAGCGCTTAAAATATTAATGATCTCTTTTGCATCTGAATGAAATGTTATCTTTGTGAGGGACGTTACCTTTGAAAGCACATATATCTCAAAGTAAAATGATTAGGGTGTACTGGCAGTGAGAAGCAATTCACATGTTTAATAAAATAAAATACATGCTGTGGAATTAGCTATAAAACAAATGTCTGTTATGTTGGAGGCCGTCAACAGAAACCTAACAGAGAAAATAACAACTGCAACCTGCAAACTGCAAAGAAAGATTAGGTAAGTTACATGGCCTAAAATAATAAAAAATCCAAGTATTTAATGCCAAAATAGAAACAGAAGACTAATACAGCAGCAAGAAACAAAGAAAGCTGAAGAGTAGACAGATTTTTATGTGCATACCGCACTGCTCCTCCTCACCAAAGGAGGCGCTCTCAGCATGCTCAAGTTCTAACGCTGTTTCTTCATCAACGTGTGCTTCTGTAAATTCCCAAAGGAGAAGTGGATCAGTTTTAAAAATCTGTAGTTGATTTTGAAACTGGGTCATAGGTTCTTCACTGGCCTATAGGACTGCAGTTCAAGCTTCAACAAGGTAATATGGGATATTGATTATGGACCAAAGTCAGAAGGATAATCAGCCAGGAGTTTGTTAAGCACTTTGAAAACAGCTTCAGGTAAACCAGTTGTTGGTTTCAACTGGGCAAGTGTTCTAAATGGCTTAGTTGCACTATGATTAAAATGTTATTGCTAAAGCATTAAAGACTGCATTCATTAAAGTCACTCTGTTAATACTGTTGAAATAGACTACAAAACGTTCCTCTTGAGAAGTTATTTTAGGATATTCTAAATCAGTGGTCAAAGCACATTTCAAAAATCAATCCGATCAATGTAGGTCTGGGAAAAGTATATCATTATCCAAGAATCCAAACTTGCATGTTGATTCAATTTGATTAAGAATCTGTGTAAATCTGTGTCGAACCCATCATTTTTTGTCCTCACCTTCAGCTTTATACATTACAAACTTTGCTGATCCAAGAAAAGGTGGAAACATCTGAGACCAAGTTTCAAAATCAGTGGTGGAAAAAACACTCACAGAAGACAAACTTGGAGTTTGATTAATCAGGTTAGGTAAATATAATAACACTTCACATGCAAATCCATGTTGGACAAAAATGGCTTGACAGAACTAACTCCCAATTTTCATGCTACGACAGCAACACTGAGGCCCAATCCCATTTCACCCCTCGCTCCTACCACTCATCCCTCACCCCTCCGTCTTGCATGTTCACATCTAAGGGTAGGGTGTCCCGATTCTTGTTGTAATAGAAGGGCGGGGCGAAGTGTTGGGGGCTACATGACCCTCCAAACGGAGGTTTTTCAGAGACTCTCCAGTGTTATGAGAAAAACGAAGCGGCAAGATGGCTGCACAAGAGACCAAAGAAAAATTATGATAATCATTGTTTTACCTTAGTTTAATGCCGTTTCAATGTTTTATGGTCCTTTTCTTCATTACAAGCATTAAAAATCACTAGTAGTATGCCGATGTAGCTAAATTTCCTGTTCCACCTTAAGTAGTCCAGCAGTTACATTCTGGTGTCCAACACTGTTGCAGAACCGCAGCACCAAAGTGGAACGGGAAAATTCGAACGAGAAGCTGGTGAATAGCTGACTTCATCTTCATAGCACTGAAGAATTGTGGGCTATAATAAATAACTGTCGCCCCCCTCACTGAAGGCACATGAGTCCTAAATGTAACTAAAGCCCAGCAGTGAGGAGCTGAACTTTACCCTCCTCTGCTGTCACTGCAGACTGGCAGGGTCGCCTACAGAGCAGCGCTAGTAGCTGTTAATGAAGTAATGCTCTTTTTATTTGAGGGTCCCATTTCATAGAGGAAGATTTCAACCACTACCCCTTGTAACTCAGTTCCAAGGGGTAGAGTGACATTCGAAAACAAGGGGTAAGGGTAAAAATAAGAAACGGGACTGGACCTTAGTCTGCATAAGATAAAAGGGCCAGTCATACAAGCTTTTGTCAGTAAAGCTATAAATGAATACATAAAAAAACAGGTGGTACACAGTCTGTCAGGAGGCCAGATTAGATGATATAACTATCATCACTTCTATATTTTTATTATTTATTGGTGGATTGTTGCTTAGCTTTCTAACTGCACCAGAATGGAAGATCTCTTTTCAGCCTCTGGTTCAGCCTCGGTCACGTCTAATTTGCAAGATCATCTAGTACAACTAAATATAAAACCTGTAGTCAGGTGTGCTCAGTAGGTAGACATGCCTTCTTCTCCAGAGGGAGAGATCTCAGCTTCACTGTACTCAAAACACCAGCAACCTGAGATTCAACTATCAAGAAATGTATATTTGAGTAGGAAATAGGAAGAAGGCACAGCTGTTTTTAATCATAGAACTGTAAATGAAACTTTAACTGGAAATCAATAAGTGGGAAAGCATGTCAACTCTGCAAGCTGTTTCTGAGCAAATACTCAGTTAGTATGATGAGGCAGTAGCTTAAAAAAATTTGATTCAAAAATTTTAATTTGTACAAATAGTGCCAACAAGATTATATAAGAAGCAAGTCTACTGAGCCTAAACCTGACATTTGTAGCTTTTCATACAGCCTTGTTCTTGCATTTGTACGAATTTCATGCTGCCATATCATTTAAGGCTCATGCCACACAGCACCTCCTCACCAGAGAGGGCGCTCTTTACATCAGCACTCTCAGTCTCCGTTATTAGCTCATTCTCGCTTGGTTTGGTTGAAGCTTCTTCGGACTCCTCTGAAAGAAAATACGTCATGTTTGGTCACAGACAAAAGACATGAAGCACAGAAAGGGTGGTAAATGCCTAAGATGGACAATAGGAAACATAAATCAACCTGTGGACTTTCAAAGGTCAAAAGAGTCCCAGATAATATTGCTATTATTTGCTTCAGGTAACTCCTAAATAAAACTTACCAAGCTCGCTTTAATAATAAAGCCATTTCTAAGAAACACACCACGTCTATCTTCTACTAAACTACACAACTCTTACTGTTCTACCAATTCAACCACACTTCTACACTTCACGACATACTCACTCTCTTTTGAGCTATTTGCCTTTGGCGTGGCCTCTGTGTGGTTTTTCCACCTTGTGTGCGGCATGATGGGGAGGGTGAAAGGGGAGAAAGTGTGCACTAGTGAGGGCTGCAGACTGGGGAAAGCTAAGCTACGCACTGTGGTGTGCAGGGGTCACAGGAGGATGAAGAGAGAGCATTATGGCTGCGCTTATAGCATGTGAACGTGCATAACACAACGGAAGCCATTGTGTGTGGAGTTGGCAGCCCTTGCGAGAGCCTGTCACTTGGTACCATGACTGCATGCCCCCCTTTACGTTGTTTATGTATGCTAGAGGGAGAGGGGCTAGAATGTGCACAGGCAACGAAGTTAGCTTTAAAACCTAAGCTGATTCCAGCCTTGCTTGATTATGTTACAACATTCATTTACAGCTAAACGCTGGTGCATTTGGACAACACCGTTAGCCGGGGGGTGCATGATGATATCGGATATATGTTGGTATCAGGAGATAATTACTTCAGGACAGATGTTTATATTTGACCAATATTTCAAACCAATATTTATTGCATTCTGGAAGAGCAGAGCGTTCAGGCTTTACCGGGCAACTGTGCTAAAATGTGTCCACTCTATTCATTTTACCGCATCTGTAACCGCAGACAAACAGTTATATTACATTTATATTTCTACATAAAAGCTAGATATAGTCTTAATTTCTACATATTATAAATGTTTATGTGTCAGCATTGGCACAAACATGTCAGATATCGGCATTGGCCCACAACTACCATATCGGTTTATCCCAAATCTGATCACTGAATAGGTTATTCTAAACTAGCAGGGCCAAGCTAACAGAGAGCCACTGAACAAATAAATAGAGTGATTATTAGTGCTTGCAACAGAATAAGATGGCAATACGAACACTGGCGTAACTGTCAGCAGTGCAGTTGAGGGAGTTGCACTGGGGCCCACAGCTTGAGAGGGAGGGGTGCAGTCACTAAAGTCTTACATTGCCTTATATCTTAGGCAATGCTTAGGCAATTTTACACCCTTGACCCATGTACAGTAACAATAATACTATACTTAACACTCAGCCTACATTACAGCACCAGCTTGGCTGAGCCTCACAACAGTGATTATACAATTACATTATATTTTAAGTTTTTGATACACCGAAAGTAACTTTTGAACAGGGGCAGGAAGGTCATTCAAAAAGAATACGAATAGTTTGATATCTTACATCGAACAGACGTGTCATTATGTGTTATAATGTGGCCTAAGATGACAACATAGACATATAACTGACACATCAAACAGCTTTAAAATGCACACCCTGCTCCCTCTGCTCTCTTATTATGGATTCACTTTATGCAAATGAGATGCAGGGCATTATTATGTTAGTTTCTAAGTGTACAAAATACTACTGGGCTGCTTTGGAGCACAAAACCAGCCTACAACTCTGCATACACCTTTACTTTGGACACCTAAACCTGTTTGTGTTTTAGCAACATGCCCCCAAAACAGGCCGACAGGGCACGGATATAGTAAGTTTGGAAAATATATAAATAAAGCTTAAAATAAAAATACAAACTCCACTCTGAAACTGTAGAGGCGGTTATACTATATCTTTTAAAGTTCTGATCTATTATTTTCCTAACGCTCTTCTTAGCAGTCCTGAATTGTGCTGCACCCCACTTCCTGCTTTTTTAATTTTATTTTTTTTGCACTGGGGCCTGTAAGATTCTGGTAACGCTACTGACCCATATGGAAAAAAAAAATATGTTTATACAATTTTTTTTTTTGCAATGTATGAAAATTGCCAAAAATGCATTTGTTAAATATATTTTTTAAATGATTTTATTTGTATTTGTTATTATATTTTTTTCAATTTTATGTAGTTTTAACAAAAGTTAAAGATATATATATAAATATACATAACCTGAATGAACGGTTCTGACTTTGCATTAATCATCGTATGTATATGGTAAGACAGAAGACGGCGCTCACAAAAAATGTATCTCAAATAAACGAGATATCAAATCATAATTGCACTTTCACAGAGTATCAATACCTACAACACTCGCTTTTGTCATGTTAAAGGTTCGTTTGCTAATATTTAAAATTAAGACACTGGAATACAAATTCTTTTCAAAAGGTATCAAACAGTGAAGTGCATTAGACAGTATTTCGGCTATTTTCATACATTTTCAACTGTATTTTATGAATACATTTACATATATTTATTTTTGTTTGATACATGTCTGTGTGTAATATTTCCCCATACATTTCAAAATAATTGTATTTTATAATATTTTGGTTAATATGGCAATATATTCAGAAATACATTTTACTGTTTGGAATGTATTTCCGTCTGGACTGCAATGTATTTAAAATGTATTTCAAATATATATAAAAAAATGTCCATATATATTTTTTTTCAAATGGGGAATTATTGACGTCAATGGAATCTGCACAGCCAAAGCTTTGTCTTTTCTGGAAATGTTCAAGTCAACTGTGTTCATTCTAATGGGTCCACTTTGTTTTCTAAAAGGCAAATGGTTTGTAAACAAAAACATCCTTTGCCACACATTCACACACAGATCTTGGTTCATGGTGGGGTTGAATCAGTACCAGATACTACGCAAGAACGTAGCACTGAGAGGAGGCTGACCCAGATGCCTGGATTACAGAGCAGTGCACGCAGCTGCAAAGCCTGGATTGACTACCCCAGTCAAGTGTGGCCTTGATGTCTTTATGTAAAAAGATTAAAACAAAGGAATATATCAGGGAGCCGCTGCAGCTGCACCAAGAAGCTGAGAGAAGATTTAACAAACAGGCCCAAGAAAAACAGAATGGACAATCCCAAATGTGGAAAATCTAGAGGAAAACAGTATGGAGATTATAGTCTTAATCTACAGTGGGTTTAATCCAGGTCATGAAATGTATTCAAAAGCAAGTGTATAGGGGAAAGGGCAAAGCACTGTGAGTTAGCATGAGCTATATGAGATCTCGTGAACACACGACATGCTAATGAGTTCATTAATGAGGCTGAATAATTTATTAGGCACAGGTATTAATCTCTCTGCACCACATCATCCGATTCTTCACGCGTCCCCCGGCCAAGATATGAATCTGATTTAATCTGTCAGAACAATGTTCCTGTTACACTATGCTGGCATGACGCACGTGTATGATATGTTAACAAATTCTGATCCGACTGAATCGTCGGTACTATTTTGGCAGCCTGCTCAGGTCAGTGTCTCCTTCACACACAATTCCATTTTCCCTTCCCTCCCTCTTTATTTAGCCTCTAAATGTAGCACACAGGCAGACGTAGCCCTCACTAGTCTAGTCTTGTCGCTGGCTGTCTCATAAATGAGCATGTTTTTTGTCAGTTTGCAATAAATTAGCATAATAAAGAGAGATGTTTAGATCAGTCTTTTTTTCTGCAAAAACTCCTAAACTGAAGGATAAAGCACCACCATTTCTAAAGGGATCCAAAGCGTTCTTTCAGAGATGCCATTAAAGGACCTCATTTGGTTCCCTAAAGAACCATGTTTGAAAAAGAGATCTTTAACCTTCATACAGAGTAAAGTTTCTTTACCAATATGAGTTCTTTCTAGAACCTTCACATTATTTGGAACAAATGATTCAATATTTCAATGATTCAAAATTTGAATGATTCAAAATTCACTGAACTTCTAATAACTAGGCAAACTAACATTTTTAAGTTAGAACATTGGCCACGTTCACATTACCAGGTTGAAGTGACACAAATCCGATTTTTTGCCCTAATGTGACTCAGATCTGATGTTTTCAGGGCTGTGTGGACACACAAATCTGACCTTTTCAAATCCGACCTGAGCCACTTTCATATGTGGTCCGAGATCGGATACGTATCCGATTCGTGGCCATGCTGCCTTAATGAGACAACTGTGCATGCGCCATCATTCAGCGTTACCATGGCAGCAGCGCCGAACAGAAGTTAAAGCCTGTAAACGGTGAAAAAGCAGCTCATCTCACCTTTTTCTCCTTCGTCTCACTCTAATAATGAAGCTGAGAGCTGATCAGAGTTAATTATCTTCTCAGCAAAGCTCGTTCTGCTCGTTAGTTTGTGCTGATGATGCACGTGATTCATTCACGTGACGTTACTGAGTAGGATGAGCTCATGAGGGTCATTTCAGGACGCCGGTTCGTCACATTAATGACCGATTTGAGTCACTGACCTAAACGAGTGTGAACCATCATGTCAGAGAGATCGGATCTGAGCAAAACATCGGATTTAAGCAATGAGGCTTGTAATGGGACCGTAGCCATTGCTACAGCAGAGCTGATCATTGTAATGATCTTTTTACTGAACTTCCTAAGAAAACAATACATCCTTTACAGCTCGTACAAAATGCAGCAGCGTCCTAACAAAAACAGAACAGAGAGATCAGATCACTCTCATTTAGAAAGAGCTGCACTGTCTGTATCGTTCAGGATAGATTTTAAAGCTCTGCTACTAGTTTTTAAGGCTCTAAATGACCTTAAAACACCGCTTACGTCACAGAGTGTCTGGATGTTTATGATCTTAGATCTGCAGATTCTGACCTTCTACAAACACCTTCAGTAAAATACAGAAAACGTGGAGAGGCTCTTTCAGTTATTCTACTTCTAAACAGTTATTCTGCTCCTAACAGTCCAGCTCAGAGCTAATTTTTAAGAAGCATCTAAAAATGTATCTATTTAACTGAACGCTTCATTAAAACTCTACGTCTCGTGGTGTTTATCTTTTAATTTGATCTGTGTCACTTTCTTACACGATTCTAAATTAATACTTACAATTTCTTGTATTATTGCTTTGTCACCTGTCTGTAAAGCTGCCACCAGCATGAAAAGTGCTATATAAATAAAAATATTGTTAATAATTATTATTGATAATTTTCAAACTGTAAACTTCAGAAACATTCGCACTCACAAATATCTTTTTCAAACATAGTTCTTTAAAAACCTACCTACTGCCAGTTTTTTTAGGGAACCAAAGGTAGTTCTTCTACGTCATTGCACAAAGAACCCGTTTTTGGCACCTTTGTTTAAAAAAAAAAGTGTGAATAAAGCCAAAGGTAATGCATTTCATCACCTTGTTGTGATGTCAGCACCCATCAGCACTCAAACCTTTCAGGTATGTGAACCACTTTTGTGCCAAAAGAGTGTGCCATAAACTGGGAATGAAAACACCCAAATCATTAGAACGGTTTACAGTAACAAAACCACTGCAGGGATATTTTTTTGCTTAATGGAAAAGTATCAGAGAAAACCAAATATTACTGGACAAGGTGTCCCCAAACCTCTGACAGGCAGCGCAGACGTAACTGTGTGACATCCTTATGCAAGAATTACCCAGCAGCCTTTTGAAGAATCACAAAGCAGTCAGTTCAGCGAGAGCTCTTTTGTTCTTGTTTTGGCTGAATTCCACAGCAGTCGCCTCACCTTTCATCGGCCCGTCTCCGGGTCCCATGTGCCCCCCGGCGACGCCGTTCTCCTTGTGGAACTGGTTGCCATGGTGATGGTCGTTGATGGTCATACCAGCGAGGGAGGTTGCCATGGCGTTGGGGTTGTAGTGGCTATTGGGTGAAGAGCCGAGCAAATCGTGCTGCTGGTCCATCGCAAGTTAGGATCAGACTGCGAGGGGTGGGGGGGGGGGGGTGGGGGAAGAAGAGAAATATACAGGAAAGAAAGAGAGAAAAAACATATGAACAGTTGGCCTGGAGAACGCCTTCCTTCTCAAGTGTGAAAGAAATCAGTGCAAACAGAAAAAGGTCAAATTCCAGGTGAGTCTGGCCTCCAACCAGGCAAATCCATAGAAGTCCAAGTATCTAGCAGAGAAAACCCTCTACGCTAACAGTGATAAGCCACTGAGCAACACCATTCCAACTACCTTTCAGAGCAGTGGTCCTTTAGGATCAATAGAAATCACAAAGTCCGGCCTCTTCCGCCTCCGGCTCGCCAGCCTGTCACAAGCTCAATGTAAATAGAGCCAGTGGGCCTGTGCTAACCAGGCTATTTATACACCCAAACATGTAGGCCTAGCTTAAGGTTACGGACACGCTAACCAAAATAGAGCGGTTAGGCCAATGTGAGTGTCACCTCCCACACCAACAGCCAACTCTTCCTCCAGACTGTGTCCACTGCTCATTATAAAAGGACAGGCACAGGATGACTAACGACGATTTAGTCAGCAGACTGCTGAGGGCTACATGAAACTAAGTTGTAATTGCAGGGCTTTGCAGTGACCACTTGATGTAGCTCAATCAAGAGATATTATTAAGGAGATTAGATGCAAAATAATCAATTCACATAAAAACGAAAAAAATCTAAAGAAAATAAGTGAAAAAAAAACAGGAGTTTCTAAAACTGGAGGTCAAAAATCATCCAAGACCTTGTAGACCACCAAACTGTCCCCGTCAGATAAACTTGAATACTTATAGCTTTCAATAAGCTCAGATGGAAAAAGCCACATCCATTCTCTTCCACTGTGAGAAGACGACTCAGCACTATGGGTCTGAAAGGATGTGTAGCTGTCAAGAAGAACCTCACTCAGAAAAGGAGACGGACACATCAAGCAAAGAAGCTGAACAATGGACTGACCACCCCAGAGTCCAGACCTCAACATCACTGAATGTGTTTGGGGCTACCTGCTGTGCATCTCTGCAGATTTCTTTGAAAAAACGAAAGCAAGTCTCCAGAAAACAATGGGAAGGGTAAACATAGACCTATAAACACTGAAACATTTGATATTTCATTGTTGAGGTTTCTGTGTAATTATCTATTAAATATATGTTCTTCTGCTTTTTTTCCCTTATGCTGAACAATAAACAGCTTGTACTTAATGGCTGGTTTGAGTGGAAATTCAATGAAAGGTGGTCTCTGACTTTTGCACAGCGCTGTATATTCATAAATTATAATTATATCATGTTCAAATTACAAATTTCTCTCAATTGTCAAAAAAAAACCTCAGTTAGCCACTTGCAGCTTTTTTTGCACACAGAAAAGACGCACCTGCTTCAGTCCCTAAGGGTGATGGGATCAAATGTGGCAGCAGACTAAAATAATACTTTACTCATGTGGTTTCTCATCAGGATTACATAACTCAGCGTTTATAGTCTTCCCTCTTTTTAGTGCATGTGATAATTATGTGGGTCTGACATGAAACATGTCACTGGAAGTGAATATAAACCTCAAATCTCTAATTGGACTAGATTTGTAACCCCTACAGAACTGCACATGTACTATTATATCCTAACCACCCATCTGCAAATATCTCTTTTCCCCGAAGTCCCACTCATTCTTTCTTTCTGACAAGTCAGCCACATTCACATTCAAACAGCCCAGCCCTTCAGATACATTCTTACATGTGCACCATCCATTCGCCCTGAGTGATTCCACTCTCCTCCCTCTGCAAATTCTCCCAGGCTGTAACATCCAAGTCCAGACATGCGATCAGAAACGTGGAGATGGGGGCAGCTCCATCATTAGAAAGAATGCTTCCTCAGGGCATACGTTTAGAGTTACTGCAGAAGGTAAAAGTGGAAAGCCCTCGTCTGATAATCTCTCCCTCACAGCTACACGAGCTTAATGGTCTCCGTAATGCTCCGGTATCCCCTATGGCGCCTTAGAACTGCGCTTTTAACATTTCCTTTAATTATTTTTCACTCGTAGTTTATTAAAACAAGCGGAGAAAATCTGTGGAAAGTGCAGACTGTAAACTTTAAATCCATTTCACAGTTTGTTTGTTCGTACAAGAGAGGATATTTTAACATAATTTGAATTTAATGAAAAATTAATTTTGAGTGCAAAGTCTTGCAGAAGATATAATCATGTACATCCAAAAGTTGAAAATGCAAAGTGGTCAATGCAAAATGTAAACTAAATGTAAATATGTAAATAAATATGCAATTAATTATATAGTGACGTATTTACATATAAATATTTGTGTATTGGAAATTAAATGTATAGTAAAATGACAGTTATAAAACTCTGAGTACAGCAACCAGAGCACACCGACCCAACAAATATTAGCAAACTGAGATGTTTGTTCTAGACACTGTTCTAGACCGCTCTCACCTCAGTCACAGTGTTCTAGAATGTTTTCCCCGTCACAGTTCTTAACGGTTCGCCCCTCCCCTTTTACTTTGTTTAATAATGTTTTCACGCGTTCACACTGTTCTAGAATATGCAGTAGAATTAGAGAACCAAGACATTTTTATTATGAGCAACTTATTAAATTCTTAATATTCTTTCTAATGTGCATTTCTGAAGTACTTTAGTAACAAAACACATTACTTTTGTATATAAATAATGCTATAAAATAGCATTACTTTTTTAAAAACTTGATTCGAAACCTACCTACCCACCCAAACTTTTTATTTTCTTGTGGGGCCAAAAGGCAATGGTTTTGGTGGGCAACTTTTTTGGCCCTCCATCCACAATAAACATTGCCCTTTGGCCCCCCCAAGACAATAAAGTTTGGGCCCCCCTGTTCTAAACATTCTAAGAAAACTGTAAAGATCACAGTATTTATTGTTGGTATTTATTGGGTCTGTGTGCTCTAAGTTTAAGGGGTAACCTCTTTTTCTCCATGGATGATGTCTAGACAAGCCAGGTGAGACGCACCAAGCTTCAAAGCATCCTGGATTAGGAGGATTTCTTTGGGAAGCAGAAGGTAGTCTTTACTCAAGCAGTCCTGAGAGGTCTGTGTTAAAGTAACTAAGAACACAATGGCTGGAGCAGCACTACTTAAGAACTAGTAAATGACTGTTTTTCCTACCAATGTGTGAAGAAATAGCTTTTAACGCACTGTTTAGTCACTTTTTGGCTTGTGTCTGTTTTTATAGTCAACCAAACGAAGAACGAGTGAGTGTAACACATAAATAAGATGAGAACAAAGCAAAGATGAAACTGGAATAAGATCGAGCAGTCACAGTCTGGATTTGGCAGGGCATTTTTGAGGCCAGTGGGAAAAATCTCACCTGGTTTATGCGCAGCTACGGTACACAAGCCCCGCGGAACGCACAGTGTTTGCACAAGGATCCAGCGGCTCTGAGGCGACCTTTCACTCTTCAGCAGCTTCTCTATGGAACTAAATCAACACTTGCAAGTATCTTCTAAAAGACAAACCAAAACTAAGACAAGGTTAGAGTCCAGAGAAGGACATCAAACCACAACAGACCTGTCCCAGACTTTTCCTACAGAAGAGCAAATGCTTGTCTAGTTAGGGCTCATCTACAAGGACGGCTGCAAGAACACCTGCCGACCGCGTCTTTTGTTAGCTGGTGTTTTATTGGAGGGGAGGGTAAAACAGGCATTAAAGCGTCAAATGTATGGGCTGGGAATGTACACTTGGACCAGCTATTTCTACAAACACATTAATGCGGGAGCGCGATGGGGGTGGGGTGGTGACAGAAAGCACTAGATCAACAATGATATTGACACAGCATTGAGATACCGCATGAAGACACACAAAGACAGACAGTCATAACACAAGGAAGCTCACTGTTTCTCAGATCGTAAGTCCATCACAAGTGCGTATAACTGTGAAGAACAAGTGTTGATGTGAGATTTAACTGATGCATTTAATATATTCAAATACGTACACAGTAGTGGGCGATATACAGGTTCATAAAACCTCTTCTTAAAGTCCACAGATTTTTCAGAAGTTCTGCATAAATCAATCATTCATTGAAATGAAACCTAGCGAATCTAATTTCTCTACAGTGGCGGTGAACCAGGGAACATGATGTTTATAACACAAACACAGCCATTTTATTTACTATCTATAACCACCAGTGAACCTACACGTGTCTTCCGGGTTTTTATTTGTAAGGATAATAGTGCATCAGATAGTGGTAATTAAGAATTTTCTTAAAACCTCAACTCTAAAACTATCTTAAAAGACTTCAGGTAACATTTGATAACCATTTCATATAGCAACTTTCTGTGAGGGAGCTTTTAGAGGTGGATGTCTGGTTCCTATCACCACCACTGTGAACAGTTCTGACTCTCAGTTTCTCTATAACTGACCATTTCACACCAAACCACTGAATAGCTGAGTCAGGGATGCAGAAAATGACAATGCAGTCTGCTGGGTACTCAGTTGCAGTCTCAGCCAACGTTAGTCAGTAATGATGGAACGGACGTTCTCCTTAGGTTAGCGTTTAGCCTGATATGACCAGACCGCTTGGTGCTTTTGTTTCCATTCACACTGCATGTTGCGCTGCCTCACTCACTGCTTATCTGTATGCATCCTGTTAAAGACCCTGAACAGTAGTTTTTATAATCTGTAATAAATAAATATTTCAGCAAACATTTTTACATATTTCATTTTGCTTCTAATTTTTGGCCCAAAGACATTAAAAGGAGTGTTTTGTGTTTTTCGTTTTTCTCTGTTGCCTTTTACCATTCTGCTGTGTGGGTGTGGACCCCAGCAGATTGACTGACAGTCCCTGCATCAAGTATAACCGCCTAGATGGACGGGCACAGGCAGACTGTAACTGCTGCACCATTTAAGGTGGGATGGGAAAATTCGAACAAGGAGCTGGTGAGCTAGAGGCTGGCTTCAGCTTGGTGTTAACAGTATAGCTGGTTGTAATGCAAAACCTTCCGTTAGCTGGCTAACAAACAGAAATGTGACCGTAGCTAAAGTCAGCTTCTAATTCGCCAGCTTCTTGTTCAAATTTTTAGGTGTACCTGCTGCACCATTTAAGGTGGAACGGGAAAATTCGAACAAGAAGCTGGCGAATAAGAAGGAAACTTCAGCCTCATATTGTTTACTGTAAATCTGTAACTCTAAAATGATCTGTATGCGAGCTGGATGAACATAATACCGGCATGCTATTTCCCTTTTTTGTGGGGTACAGTTGCCCTACAGATAATGGAAGAAAGGCTGTTAGGGGTCTCAGTCAACAGCTCTGCTCCATAAATAAAGGCTCATAAATTTATTTCCACATTTCATATTTTAAAAAAGTAAGAAACAGTATTTCTTACATATTAATCACCTTTACATGTTAGCTTGTTAGATTTTGTCCAGCTGGTTAACCAGGTCTAGTTATCAGGCCTTACCTAACATTATCCAGG